GGCCCCGCGCTGCCGCGCGGCAGCAAACTGAGGGCACTTCGGTCCCCGCGAGGGGCTCCCTGCTGCCCTCGTGCCCTTGGGGGCACTGCCAGAGCACCAGCTCTGCGCTGGGCCGCAGAACTTCCAGGGTGAGGGTTTGCAGCATTAAAACACCCTATTAACTTAGCTACATAGCAGCTACTAAGGAAAGGTTATTACTTATCCCACCATTGCAAACACTTGAAACTCGTGTTTCCACAGAACAGGGAAAGGGAGAGGAATTTTAAGATGCCTCAGGTGGGTAATGGCCAACCCAAGCAAGACCATTTTTGACTTCACATCACCAAGAGGCAATGGATCCTGTACACAAAAGGCCAGAGCAGGATAGCTGGGGAAAAATGCAGCCCAAAACAGCTGCTTAAAAAAGAAGATTCCTGGGTAAAAGCTCCCGATCCCTTTAACCTGCCTAACTGCTGCACATCTGTCTCTCCGTGCCCGTAACAGCACGCTAGTGCACGTGCAGACTTATTTTCATGGAAACAAAAGCCAAGCAAGTGTTTGTATTTCAGTTTTCAATGCACTGCTTTCCCAGGCTCACCTAAAGCTTCTTAGAAACGAGCTGTTCTACTCAGGCTGCTCTGTGCCGTTGGAGAGGGTCGTGCCTCCTCCACTTCAGGGGTGGGGAACAGATTTGAAAATGACTCTCTGACCTCCCAAGGTTTTCAGATTATTTTATGTACTTATTTTACAGTATCTCTCTTTGCATGGTGAAGAAGGATGCAATAGAGCATGGTTCTCTTCACTCTGAACACAAAACAAGACCATTTTCAAACCATTTCCGAGTTTTGTGTTCTTCAGCCTTACCTAGGTTCCAGGAAACTGTTCCCTATTCCTTAGGGATAAACTCCACTCCTACCAGACACCTCTTTGCACCTGATGAGATTTGCTAGACACTCACTGATCTAGAGCCCTCGGACTTCATTCTGCCTGATTTTTCTGTCTAAGATAAAGGGCAGAGCATTCCACGACTAGGCAGATGTAAAATAAGTAGATTCACTAAACAGTTAGGATTTTTTCCTTCTTTTTTAAAGCTATTTTTTTAAAGAGATCAAAATAGCCCCCTTCCTTCAAATCAGAACTCTGTGCAGAATTCTTTTCAGGAGAAGTCCTATTTTGATCTGATCCCTTAAATCATGGCAGAGATGTTCTTGTTCTGCAAGTTCCCTTATGGATATTCCCACAGTGGAGAATACATCGGACCAAAAAGATCTCTTAAAAATACTGATCTCTCTAATATAAAGTGCAATTTATACTTGAAAAACTTTGGTAGTTTTTAGGTTAATTTTAGTTTATAAAGGGATCTTAAAGTGCATGGAATGCACTCTAATGCTTGGAGAATACCACTGTACTCATAACAAGTCCTGTAACAAGTAATTCTCACTTGAGTATGTAAAAATGTAGAACTTGATTATTAAATTAATCATTTTGATTGCCTCTAAATACTAATTTCATTATGGATGCAAACTACTGGAGTAGACAGTAAATAAGCAAAAAAAAAAAAAAAAAAAAAAAAAAGTCTTTGAATAGCTACTGCTCCTCAAACCAAGATTTCAGCATTTTACAACAGTTGGAGTATGGGGTAACCTGTTTTTTCTGAGAAATAAACACAAAGAGCTACCATTTCCTATATAAACTGAAAGTCTGTAAGGGGTATAATGGTCTTTTTATCCCTCTGCTGCCTAAGGTGAACTGTAAATTCACCATTTTTGAAAAACAACGTACCTTCACCTGGTTGATAAAATCCCCAGAAAGCTTCTGAATGTGCTCGAGGGAAAACTTGACCCCGGAAGGGCTGAAGAACACGATGCTTGCTGGAATTCCCTGCGTGGAAACAACCACAGGTCAAACGGGGACTCTCTCCATCCCTGCAGTGTATCAGCACCCTTTCACGTCCATCTTTGCAGCTGTCTCTCTATGGAAATGCAATGTTTTTCCCAGATAAGAAGCAGCTACAAAGCCAACCAAAAGGGTTTCCTGGGGTCTGCCAAACACTGTGAAATGCAGAAATTCAGATGCCTTTAATCAAATACTTCAGTACAGCAGCACATTTTGGTGATAAATGCATTGTGTTTTGGAGCTGTCCTCAGTTTTCTGTTTGGCAAGGAACGTGTACAAGTTATTTTCCTAAATCAATAACATCAGTTAAGAAATAAAAAGCTCAAGACAAACTTGGTATTTTATTAAGTGTTATGCTGAAATTAACAGCCCTAAATACTAAAAGCAGCAAATAAGAGGGGCTCACAAAGTCACACAATGCCTACGTGCTACTGACTACATGCTATAACTGCTGTAGACCAAATTCTGCAGTGACTAGAACTGTAAAATCCAGCCAGGAATACCAGGATACCACAACGTATAAGTTGACAGGCCATGTCATAGCCTTTCAGGACCTCTTGAACAAGCAGAACTTTGAAATCAGAATGTAGCTCAAGGGGAAGTTAATGCACATGTTTTAGAGATAGAAGCAGTATGTTTAGGCAGGCCACGTGTCTAAGAAGTAAAAGCTGCATTTTGAATAAATCCTAGGTATAACACAGACACTTGCCAATAGGAAATTCATTAAGCTTTAAGAAATAAGATCAGTAGCTGCAAATCTTTACTATGAACTTTATCGAGCTGAATGCCATGTAATAGATGGTTTTAAAGAAGGAGAAACATTAATAACAATTCTAGTGAATACATCTGAGCTCATTTGTTACTAGGATCACTTAAAATGAGCTAATCACTATATTCATAAATGGGGATATCAGAGAGGAATATGTACAGCTGATTACTGAATTCTGATTCATAAGATATGGCAAATATGTCCAGTGATAATACAGTGACAGCAATAATTTTTAGTAATTAAGCTATTCAATGAATATTTCTCCTTAAATGTATTTTCTAATAAGGTATGATCTAAAAAGCAGTCTTTTCAAGACTCGTTGAGCTCAAAGGAACAAACCAATCACTCCGAAACACAGATGTACTGTGAACACTAGATAAAATGTGAAATGTTTTGTCCTCTTTGAACGGAGACGTCGTGTATTTTAGACTCTGTAAGTGCCACAATGAATAACTGAGGGACTCATTCTCTATGGCTAAAGCTTTTGCTACAGGATTTTCTTGGTGGTCATCAGAAGAAGAAAACAGGCAGCCTACACAACAAACTGTTGCAGCAGCACAACTATATGAAACAGACACCTGAAGAGGAGTGTCTTTTTTTACTAGCTTTTACCAGGCAGCTCAAAAAACGCCCCCTTCTATCAGTGCCCGATACCTGCTGTGAGAAGTAGCTGCTCAGCGATTCCTGGAGCCGAGGGTGCTGGGTGGTTTGATACACGGTGAGACTTTCCAGAGGGATACCTGGAACCAGGATGCACAGGCATGGCTGAATGGAATTTCAGTAAGACACTCAATGTAATAATGGTACCTGAGTTATTTCAGGTTAAAAAGATTAAGAAGACAGAAAATAACTTCTGTGAAGGATTCCTAGCTATTCCTAGAGCTTCAAGATAAGAGTAAAGCATCTGTAACCAGAGAACTTCAAAACTTCATGTTACGGCTCAGTACCTGAGCTGTGGACACTACATTATTACGCCAGTTTTTATTTCTATCCTCTTACTTCTGGCCAGTATAATAGCAAATATAATTTTTACTATTCACATTTGGTTTACAATCTTTAGATACAGCTGCTTTCACAACAGACAATTAAAATGAGGCTCTAAGGGAAGTTCAACCTTTTTCTTTTAGTGTTGTAGGAAGCACTTCTCTTTTGAGGGCTCCACAAGGGAAAAGAAGAGATGATGAATTAGGGTTCTCTCCTGTAAATACAAAAGCAAAAGCTTGTAATTAATTCATGTTTCTAATAAAGGATACACAAGATTTTAAAGGTTTCAAGGGTTGAACACAGCTGCAAATGCTGCCTCCTTCACCATAGACCCAGCCATAACATAACAGAAAACATTTGCAGTAAAGCTGCATCTGCAATTCAGAGGATAGAGGCTACTTAGCATGTAAATTAAAAAATATTCCATAACTGTAATACGAACACATTGGCTAAATAGATCTGAAAGAAGATAATCCACATTCCTATTCCCCATGCCATTGTACAAGGGAAAGCCCCAAGCGGGTGGTTCCTCCCTTTGCAGAAACGTGTTTTCCTCAGGTTGGTTTGTGGAAACCTGAATCTCCCTGGGAGCATCTGCAATAATGGCTAAAAGGATTTTAGTCAACTTAAAAAAAAAAAAAAAAAGTGGTACTTTTTTCTCTACAGTATTGCAAACTAAGCTATTACACACATGTAAAGAACACACACAATACAACAAAATATCTTAAACATTAGTGATAACTGGTTTTATGCATTTTTGCAGTTGTTTCTATTAGTGGAATTAGCTGTCCATATAATATTTATTGGTTTTAATGTATTGTTTAAGGCTTATTAGAGTTTTTAAATTGTTTTTGTGAAGACAGTCCTGATGACAAACAGAACCAAAGAAATAGTTTTCCATATGAAAACTAAATTCATATTATCAGTAATCATTTATTTTTATATATGTATCTCCTTTTAAATATAGCTACAAACTGCTAAGGATAGGAACACAACATCAGACATCTTATTGCACACGGTTTGCCTTTTCTATAAACAAAAGAAATACAGAGAAAGCTCCAAAATAAAATACTGTACAGCCTTCCCTCCACTTTGCATTCATATTTCAAAATAAATGGAAGTTCCTCACCACCTACTACTTTACTGCTAATTCAGATATATTAATGAATATTTTGAAAATAAATGTCTTTTTAGGCACTTTTTAAACCAGGTAGATTTTGGTTTATAAGCATAAGCATCAGAGATGCCTCTGAGAAAAACTGAATTGCATAGTAAAAATCAAATGGAAAAATCTTATTAGAAGCCCACAGGGATATACCGGGATATCCAAACAGTACATTGCAGTTTTGTTAGGAATCGAAGCTAATATTTCTAATAAATTACAGGAAGGAAGAATGAACTCAGGACAGAATACAAGATATTTTTAAATCATAAGATAAAGGAAGAACATTTTAACATTAATCCTCTTTCAACTCGCGGCAGTTAATTGAAATGTCAGTGTGATATCCAAAAAGAAACACTAATCCCTTAGACTCGTGTTTACCAAGCACAGAACAGCTCGAGAGCTCGGAACAGTCCAACAGACCCTGGCCCCAGCTGCATCCCCTGCTTCTGTAACCAACGCACATGGTATGTCCTAACAGAACTAGAAAATATTTATCTGGAAAAGAAACTATTTAGTTAAGGAGTCAACACGTGCATGCTTCCAATCACTTAATTTGATGCCATGAAGATAAAGAAAATAAAGAGCAAAAGAAATATAATTGCTTCAGATTTTATGTTTATTCTGACAATAAATTGCAATGACGTAAAAATTCTTCTCTGCTCAGAACTAGTATTTTCATTTACTTCTTATTCTTTTATGAATAAACACAGATAAACACATACAGCAGGAAGAACACAAATTTAATTTAATCTGCATTTTAGAGATTGTTACTCCCAATTTGATAAATTGAGCATAAACATGCCCAATCCACTCAAACATGGAGTTTGATGGAGCAGTCTCCAGTGAGTGGAGCTCCCGGTTGTCCCGAAGGGTGTCCCAGGGCAGCCAGTTGTGCAGGGACAGGGGGATCCCTGGAGCTCCGTGTTTCCCTGAGGAGCCCCCTGCTCCGCACACTCTGTTAAACATCCCGAGCTCCCTCCTTCCCCCTGGACTCTGGGAAGCTGCTGCCAGCCCGCACTGACCCGGGAAGTGCCCTTCCCCAATTCCCACCTCCATAGGAGTGGGCTGGGAAGCACCGATGGAGCAGACGTGGTCGGAAGCACAAAGCAGGTGTGGGCACCGGAGAGAGGCAGAGGCCACGATGGCAGCAAGTCACACACTCCCCTCCAAGGGCCTGGAATGTTCTTAAAAACTCGTTTTCTAAACTCACTCTGATGCCTGGTTTCCACTCAGCCCTCTCCATGCCTCTTTTAACTTCTGACCTTGGCAGGATTTTTCCCAGAGGTAGTACTCCAGTTAATGCAACAGCACACACCTCTCTCTCTGTAACGCACCCTTTTTAGGGACAATCAATACAGCTCTTAAAGGACATTTTTCTTTAGGCTAGGAAATGTGGTAATAAGAAGAGACTTAAAGGTATCCAGCTCATTTCTGGTCCAGCCCCTGGTACTACATGTGTCTTTATTCTTTAACTTTGACCCTCTTTCTTTTTACTTTAGCACAATAGATGAGATAGTATTTTTCTTCCCTTCATTTTCCCCCAGCAAAGTGACAAGGTGTAACCAGCAGCTTTTAAATCAGCAGATACAATAATTCATCCAACACCCTGAATAACTCCACTTTCATCTGGTTCTCTGGAAGCTGGACTGTTTTCCTCTGACAAGTCCAAAAGCACTCCAAAAAGCTCAATTCAGCAATTTTGCATATAAGATGTATATCATATATGCAGTATATATACTGCTTTAGTGTACACACTAACAAAAATTCTATTTATATGGAATTCTGAAAAAAACGTTAAGATATATGATCTTAATTCAAGTCAAAGATTTTGGTACTTACTTGAGCAAATAAATTCAGCTAATTTTTCAGCATTTCCAGATTCTTCTCCTTGTGGAATAAGGCCAATTTCTTCCACTATAATCAAAAGCAGCAAAGAAAAATTTCGTTTGAATTTAATAAAAGCAACTCAGGTTTACTGTCACAGAAACACATGATTTAAAAAAAGGAAATCCAACTTCTTCCTAGCATAAAATGTTTCTTTAAAGAGCAAAAAATCACAGCACTTAAAAGTAATAATCTGCTACATAAGATTTGATTTTGGTTCTACACAGAAAAACAAGAGAAAAGTATAAAGGAAGAATTCTGGGAATAGCTAGGCTTGTCTTGGACAATTTGAAATTCTCCTTTATACCTAATGGAGAGAGAATGCATCAGTGCATCACACTTCTTGAAATCAGATAGCCATATTATAATCCTTTTCATCCAATTTCATTTCCAAGGTAAGTTTTTTTTTTTTTTTTAGCCAATTAAGCACTTTTTTTTTTTCGTTTTTGGCTTAAATTTTTAAATGAAAGCAGTTGCTATCACATTACAATAAAATTAATGAAAAGCAACAGCCAGATCCCCAGCTGAAGTAAACACATATAGTTCTAGTACTAATTTTTTTTAGCATCCTTGAATAGCAACTGAGACTACAGAAATTATAACAAAAAGACAAATTCATCTAAGACTTTTTTTAAGAGCCCAGCTTACCTAGAGAAGCTGTAGCATTTCCTACCACATATGCTGGTTTGTTGCTCCATCTTTGTTTCAGAGATTCGGACCAGGCTGTAAAACATTTAAATTTAAGCATGTGATAATAAAATATGAATACTAAATGAGTATCTGAGCTTGTTTAAATCTGAAAATACAGATAAAAATAGTAAGGACTAATACTTCAGTATGTACATTAGCAAATCTAGATGTATAAATTCAATATTTATTGCATTGTGTAAACAGTGGTCTACAACATATTATCAAACTTCCTGAAATTCTGAAATAGAAAGAGCAAGGAATGTAAATCTGCACTTACCTTCATTTTTACTCTTCTCTTTTAAACATATCTTGATGGCTTCTAATGCTCTTGGGCTGGTAAAAACTAGGCCTCCATAACGTTCAGGATGAGAGAGCTGCTCATTAATAGTAGATACAAGCAGAAAATTTACAAGTGAGTACAAAAATAAATTGGATCAATTCTTTAAAATCAAAAAATTGTTCTTATAAGAACAAAGGTCTTTCAATAAATATCTAATAAAGAAACAGGCAAATATTAAAATTGATCAATATCGGTAGCAAGGCTATTTATTAGATAAATGCATAACAAATATTGAATTCAGAACACAACCTACACACATGATATTAATTCTGAAAATGTGTGGAATGGGGATGGATTTGTATCACTGAAATGAGCTGAAGGGTGGGAGGAAAATATAGGAGATACTTCCAATTCATACTAGGGAAATCAACTGTTATTCCGAGCAGTAACTCACAAGCACAAGTGCACATGAGACAGGGCAGCTAACATTGTTAATTGAGCTGCCCATTCCCAGGAATACTCAGAAAACACACTGTGTAAGCAACAGCGAGCACCTAGAGACAGATTGCTTCAGCTTAATATCTTCTTTAAGGGACTAAAATCTCTTCCTTGAACTTGCAGGAGCCTCACATTGATGGGAATAAGAGTAAACTTCTTTGTTCTAAAAGTATTTTAATTTGAAAAAAAAAAAAACACCCTCTTGCTTGTGGCCTATGGCAGAAGGAACACTCTTGTTAAGATTGACAGATGAATAATGAAAATCTATCCTGAGTCTCCCTTCCACACTTTACTCTTACCACTAACATGTCTCTGCCCATTCATTAAGCTACAGTAACACAATGTGTATAGAAACAGCAGGATTCTTCCACATGATTTTTTTCATCTTTTTCAAGCCTGCAAGTAGGCTGAAACTATCCACTCTACATATAATAGATCTGCACGTTATAGAGGTAAATGTACATATTCTGATAACACAGAAATCTAAACACAGCACCCAGGTTAAGAAATACAAAATAGCAGAATGCTCCTAAATTATATAATCTGTATTTTAAGAGATTTCCCCTCTATGAAAGAATTACATGCAAAATGCACTTTTTGAATGCATGCCTAGGTTTTGGTTCTTTTCCAACCATACTTTTATTCATTCTTAGTTGAGGACTTGCACTTGGAAAGCTTCGCTTCGCATTCAGACACATCCAACAGCATCTGGCCAATTTTTTTGTTCCAAGTTCTGAAGCAATTTTGAGCTAAAGGGACCTTAAAAACGATTTTTTTAAAAAAGCCAAACAAAATCCCAACAAGGGCTCCACATTACTACTGTTTTAATTAAGAGGTTTGTATCTGCTTTAGGTTTATTCAGGACCTGATGATTGGCAACTGATCAACATAAAAGATTTGTAAATAAATACAGAAAGAGGTACCATAAAGGGCAGCAGCAATGTTAAATCAATATATAACATTGTACCTTGGCAATCCTGGCTTAATCTCTGTTAGAAATATGACAACTGAAATAATATGAATCTTACCTTTTCAAATAAGCTGTCAAGTGAAACAAACTCAAATGACAGAACTGGAATCAAAGTTGCTTCTAATCCATGTAAACTTAATTCCTAGAGAAAAAGTTTAGAGATTTGCTGAATACCTTTCAAACAATACTTTTTTCTTTTTAAAGTAAGGATCTGTAAGAATATTTCTTTTCCCTAAATCAAAACTGAAAAGCATCTAATTTTAATAGTGAAACTAGGGTTTTTTGTATGTTAATTTAGCATTTCTGCATAATGCTGAACAACCACCAGTGGAACTGAGGTCTTTTGTGTGTAGCTACTGAGTAGTTACAGTAGAAACCAGCACAGAAATCTAAGTGACAAATGATCTCCTGGTCCTGCAAATATTTTTGTGCATCTTTTTAAGTCTTTAAATCCAATATAACCACCTCTACAAGTAAGAAATACCCACATGAATAAACTAAATAGCAGAAAGCACCTCAGCAACATGTAAACTGTTTTTCACATTGAATTCCTAACAAAACCATTACAAATTTTTGTAATCATAGTTTTATCTACATGAACATAACCAATGTTAATTCAAATGAACTTCTGTCTCAGTACTTTGCTGAGAACTTTAATGCTGAATCACTCTCATACAAACGTCCCAAAACTAAAAGAACTAAAATCATTCTAATATACAAAAGAATGTCCCATAACCAAAATAATTTCTTCAGTAACAGCCAATTTCCAGGATATTTTTTTCTTAGAAGATATAATTTCAGATACGCACTCCTACTTTATATAATTCTTTAATTTGAAACAGGTATAATGATCTATCTTCCTGAACTGTGTAACACTATTATTTAATATTGAAATGACACAAATATTTACTTATTTTTTTTAAATGAAAAATTTACTCACTTTAATATATGGATCCGGTCCCGAATCTTTATCTTTGGGGTCTTTCAATAACAGAACCTTCATTGTTTACCTAAGAATTGCAAAAGAGCTCTGAAATACAATAAATGAATCTAGCTAAATTAGATCTAGAGGACTTTCTGCTGAACAGTGGCTTTAACAGCCCGGCTTCCAAAGCAGCTGGGTTCTGAGCAGAGGCCCCGCTCCCTATACCCTATCCAATGAGTAAGCAGTTGATGTATGTTCTCTGGGAACGAATGTCCAGCCTGATAAGGCCAACAAACATCATGCTGGGTCTGGATGATACTGCTTGGAAACAACACACAGTGAAAGTCATCCAGGAGAACACATTTTAAAGGAAAATGTTGTGTAAAAAAGTTAATAACCTCTGCAATATTCTCACACAAAGCAACAGACTAAGCCACTATTTATAACTCTTCTGTTCTGTTCCATTCTGCGCTAGTTTATACCCTAGTGTCATCATTACAGAAAGCAAGAGTTTATGTATGAAGTGGTATAATTTGATGCATTTTGGTCTCACCCTTTTTATAAGCATGTGCAAGGCAGTGTTCCAAAGTTACTACTTTTTAAATACAGACATATGTATGTGCACATTTATGCATTTAGGTATAACACACATAATACTCACTTACCTTGACTGATATATTTACAGTATACAGGCAAGACTGAAATAATATCATCTGCCATTAAAATAGAAGATAATAAGAAAAACTAAGGTTTTTAAAAACTAGCACTCTGTTCTTCAAAAGTTGACTCTGGTACTGAATTTGAAGACATTTTACAACACTTAAGTAAATATAACAAATATAAAAGCAAATGAAATAAACAAAACTAAGTCTGCTACTTTTCTGCACATTTATTTTAGTTGTGTGTTGTTTCCCTTACACATTACATGCCAGTAAACTCAGTTAAAAGTAAACAGCTGTGACTATTCAAATGTACAGAACATCTTAAATTTGATCCATCTGGATGAAATGCTTTACAATCTTCAAAACTTCATCCAAGATGGCACAAAGTTTGGGTAAAAATATTTTCTTAGAAAAAGTTGTCAACAACTTTCATATAGGAAAGGCAGCCTTAAATGTACTGGACAAAACAGGATTTGGTGCAAGTCAGTACAGGTGACAGGAGCTCTGTATCTTGGATTCTTCTACAGCCAGCACTGCCAAAAGCAGGGGGCGAAAAGGGCACCCCAAGGAAACCATCTCCAGGACCTTGCGCTCCAGCTGTAAATACCATTCTCACATGATTTTAAACTTCATTTTTGTAACCTAGGCTTTAGAGTGGTGGTTTCATAGTTCACGACAGGTTTCATAGTTGAGGATAGGTTTCATAGTTGAGGATAGGTGTAGGTGGTTTCATAGCTGAGGATAATTTTTTGAGCTCTTACCATTAGACTCCGAAGTACTGATTCTTGGTACACAAAACTCACACAAACGGGAGCTTGTAGGGCTTTGCAGTTCTGAAAAATCAAGGGACCTGTAAAAGTCAAAACAAACGTTTTGTCTCAGACCATACAGACCCCAAAAAAAGAAGAAGAAAAAAATTTCACAGTACAGAATTCACCAAATCCTATTGCTTTCAAGAGCTACACTGCCAAACCTAATGTAAAGAATTGCATTATACAACTTACTTTGATATTACTTTGATTTTTTTGGATATTCTTATTATTTTAATATTTCAGGTTTTCATAGAGTAAAAATATTCCTAGAGACATTTTTGTGATTAATAGAAACAGAGAGCACACGTTTGTAACTTAGAGAAATACATTTTTCCTGATAAGAAACATTGTTACAATTTCTCAGTCACTTTAACATTGTAACAGTCTTTACTTTAAAAATCCAATATTCTTGTAAAAATACTTTGGCACACACGCTTTCATAACCCATCACTCCTTCCTGCTTCCAAAACACATAAGTATATAGTTTATGTAGCTGATGGAACATTTATGACAGTAGGTAAATGGCAGGTTTTTAGATGGGACTATAATGGTTAGCAACATTATGCCAGAAAAACAAATCTTCTGCACTGTATAACACCAGATAATAATTCTTCTTAGCAAGAGCAATTTCCCAAAGCATTGTAATAAACCCTCCAAATAACATGACAGTGTTAATTCAAGTACACTGGGGGAAATGGGAATTATAATTAATTTATTTAGGTAGTTAGAACTGAACTAAGTTCCTATCTATCGCCTTATTACTGTGTCAAGCAATGAACAATAATAAGGAATGGGTAAACATCCATGCTTAACAAGGTGACTTATACCAAATTAATTCTTTTGTTTAGATCTTGCGTGAAAAATACATCCTGAAACCAGACATAATTACAAGTAGTCATAAAATATCATGAACTACTGCAAGATGCAATTATCTACACGTCTCTTTTAGAAGGAAATCACACAGGCTGTATTTTGGACTTAGCTATCTGGCTTCCTCGAGTAAGTCTGCACATCCCCGGCACTCTCAGAAGACACCAGTTTATTTTCAAGTTTACCAGAAGAAATCCCATTTATTGACTTCCAAAAGGCACCACAAGTGTCCAAAAGAAAATGCAATTTGAGCTAGGGAATCCGTAAGCTTGTACATTCGTGAGTGCCATTTATTTTGTGCTGCAGGTATCCTTCAGCTTTTGGTATTACTGCTGTCCCAAAAACAGTGTCCTTTACAGCAGTTCTCAGTCTCTGACCGCTGAGTCCATTTTCTCCACAAAGTTCAGACAGGTTTATGTAGCAGAGCTGGCGACAAGCAGGACCGCACGGAAGCTGGAAGGATGCTGTCCTTTCCACAAGCCTGGTTGTCATGGAAAAACATCCACACAAGGTTTTATGATTTGCTGCAATGATGTTAGGATCCCACCACACTGGGCATGTTAAGAGAAACAACAGTATCTTTAACAGTTTGCTTGTGTCGCTGAGACTTTACTTAGAAATTCCTGCAAATGGCTAAAACGCATCTTCCAGAAAGCTGGATTACAACCAAGAACCCTGACAAACATTGCTCTTGAATCAAACAGCATTAAGAAGAAAGTGCATCAAACTATACATGCAGCATCTTCAATTATATCTGATGTTCTCTCCTGTTCGTACTAAGAACTCTATATATTTTCTCAAGAGGGGTATTCGCAAGCTTCTTAAAAGCCCATAAAAATAGTGTCTATGTAGAACAAGCAATGGACTTAGCAGTCCAGCAGCACTGCTCAAGCTACACATGGAAACGGAGCTGTACATGGATAACCTCAGTGAGAAGCTTCTCGCTGCCAAGCTTTTATTCACAGGACAACGTGGCCTCCTGCTTTTGCCCCATTGAACAAGCCTCTTGTTTACCTGTGTTCTAAAATAACAACGCTACAATATTTGCTATCCCAACATTAGGTAAATACCATTTAATATCAAATTTGCTTGGAAACAGCTACTATGAGAACGTCAGATTTTCTACCTTGAATAGACACACAGATTAAAAAATGCTTGAGAAAATACTTATACTAGTTGCTCTGTAGGGTTATGGAAAAATCCAGATAGTTCTGAACAACAAGCTGCGAGGGAGCTTCTGAGGCATCACATTGTGACCACCAAAGGATAAACTTAGTCTAGGACTATTTTTCGGAGACTGTATGACTTAATTTAGGAGATGGGTAAATGTGGGTCACATTATATGTTCAGAAGAATATTGCACATACAGATAAAATTTAACATCCTTACGTCTTCAATTAAAATATAAAGCCAGTTATTGTGTGATCTCTAGGTCCCTGATATTATAAATGAGCAATAATGTCTCATATTAAAAGCAGCTTAGTAAAATTCGTATATGTCATTGCACAGAAAGTAAATCTCTGCAGGTGACTTGGCTTTCAAGTGAAAGCCTGTTCCCAAATTCATTTTGAACTATCTTTAAACAGGACAGCTTCTAAAAAGAATTAAATGGGCCATTTCATTTCTTGCTCCTAACTCATGCTGACAGCTGTTAAATATATTAACCATTTCTAATATTACTTTGATTATAAGCAATTGTATATGGGTCACAATAACATTTGATCACTAAGTGTAAAGAAACATAAACGGACATGAATTACTAGACAGTGTGGGTGAGATTTTTTTTTAAAGAAAAACTCTTAAAAATCCTTGGGCTAGGGTGGGTCACAATAACATTTGATCACTAAGTCTAAAGAAACATAAACGGAGATGAATTACTAGAATTACTAGACAGTGTGGGTGAGTTTTTTTAAAAGAAAAACAAGCCCTTGGGCTAGGGCTTGTGATACTAAGGATTTCTTATCAATATTCTCCTACTATGATTAGTTGAGTTTAATACCCAAAAAAGAAAGAAAAAAAGCACTATATGCTGTTATAAGTTTCAAAAATCCACCAGATTCACGGGACATATAGTATATATGTCACCAAATAACAATGTTTTGTGAAAAATTCCTGCTAGTCAGTGCCTATGTCAGAAGAAGCAAAGGACTCATGTAAAATCAACTTGATGCATTTTTATCAGAAACCATGTTAGTAAGAAGAGTGATTCTTGACTGATATAGCTGCAACTAAAAAATGGAAAACTGTTCTACTGGTTCCGGTTTACATGCCCAAGGGAGCAGTTTTACTATAGCAGGAACTGACCTGGTCTTTCTGCATTGAGCATTTTCGTTGTGTATCGGCATTATTTAGACCTAAGCTCTTCCAGAGCAGACACCGTTCTCAAAAATAAAACAAAAAACGACAGCAGCAAACAAAACAAAAACAAAAACCATGGACACATTCAGTACTTTAAAGGGATATACAAATTCAAAGTACTATACTCTTTGGATTGTATTTATAAAGCTCAAATTAAATCTAAGATCCCACGCCCAGAATTTCTCCTGCTTGCTAACAGTGAAAGCTCAATTCTCCTCTCTTAATGCCTTCAGAAGTACCTTTTTTTCCTCCTTTTTTCCTTTTCCCTCCACTAATTAGGCAAGAAGATTTAAATGGCAAGTAGTCTGCACCAGCAAGGCTTTAGCATGAACGGTCACCCCTCTTGTTTTTACTGCTTATGACCTTTCAGCAGATTTTCCTGCATTACGAGTTTTATTTAAAATAAATAATAATTCCCGGAGGAAAGGTGACGTTATTGGTTCGACGTGGGAATTATATTTTATCTTTTTTAATGAAAGATGCTTCGGCACAGGCAGGAGAGCCTCCACACGCTGCAGGACACGCACACACACTTCCCTATGTCCTTTAAAGCGCACTTTAAGCCACGGCAGACCCCTGTGGGGAAGCTCGATTTCTTTTAAGACAAACTGTGCCTGCAGCACGAGGAGGGATACACTTTTTTTTATTATTTTTAACCCCTTTTGTGCCTTTTCCTCAAGGAAAGGGGGAAGGACGCGCAGCCCCCGCGGTGGAGGAAAATGGCGGCCGCGGCGCCGCCCCACACGCCGGCGGCAGCGCGGGCCGCCCGCGCTCGCCCGCGCGTT